GGACATTTCTGAAACTCTAGGTCCAGTTATATCTGGCATTAGATTAACACAGAAATTCAGAAAAATAAAAACATGATACTAACATTCAAACACAGTGGTGGTAGTGTTTGGTCTGAAGTTGCATTGCCTCTTCAGGACTGAACCATGGTTTCTGCTCTCTAGCAGCTTGGGAACCTAAGCCCAACAAGTACGCTTCTGAATGGCTCAGTCAAAGCTAAATGTCAAGTCTGGAATAAACTCCTGTGGTATGAATTCAAACTGGCCTTTAATGTAAAAATATAACTAAGCACTTCTTACGAACTTATAAGATTCTACCTTTTAAGTTGATACTGTGTTATCAAATATGGTCATTATAAGTTCAACTTTTTTAAAAATGCTCATAGAAACAAATATTTTAGCTTAACTGTGTGGCCTGCAAGGATCTGAAGGTGGTGCACTAAAATAGAGATTATAGTTCCACCTGGGAGCCTCCTTCTAGCATCTCAGAGACTTTATACTTCATTACTGCAATATAAACGGCATGTGCTCTATTATGAAGAAGCAGCAGGAAAGGCTGTGTCGGCATGGTTTTGTGTGTATTTGTGTGTGAAAAAGCCCACGTTAGAGGTTTAATTTGTAGCTGTGGAGTAACTAATAGGCACCTCAGAACAAACTCCCTGCACAAAGCAAAATCCGCCCATTCACATGGAAACTGTGTTTCAGATCCTCAATCAGCTGGGAGGTGTTTTCTGTTGTTTCATTGTCAAATGAAAGAGAATTCACATCTGACAGGGCTTTTTTTTTTTTTTTTTTTTTTCTGTGTCACGTCTCTGTGTATGGTTCCATTGCAGCAAAACAGACTCTGATGTGCATGCACAGATCAACTCAAATGACATGATTAGTAAGGTCAAAACTACCAGGTTAAAACTTAAGGTGACTTTTCTGTCAAAACACAGGAGTAGATAATTCTTTTACTTCCACCTAGTGGACACAATTTGAGTAGCACTCCAGAAAAGAATTCACTATACACAACAAAATGAATTGAGAAAAAATATTTGTCACAAGGATGAAAAAAAAAAAAAAAACTATAGGCAAACATTATCAAGCAAAAATATGTATAGTAATAATAATATTGCAAACTACATTTTTCAACAGTTTTCATTACATTAAAAAAGACTTTCAATTATCTAGGTAAAATAAATAAAATGTGATATATTCGTATTATTCTGAGATTATGATACTCTCTCTCTATCTCTCTCTCTCTCTCTCTCTCTCTCTCTCTCTCTATATATATATATATATATATATATATATATATATATATATATATATATATATATATATATATATATATATATAAATATATATATATATTTATATATTTTTTTTTTTTTACCGGTACTTCAGGAAACTGTGGGACAATCGGACGTTGATCCTGAATTTTAATTTTGTTTTTTCTTTTTGATGATTTCTTCAAAATTGGGCTATATTACTTAGCCTTTACTCAAAAGGCTCAAATCCAAACATGGCAAAAAGGGGGGAAAAGAAGCACATAGCTGACAGTAATTATGCTTTAAATAAGGCTGTAATGACTTCAGTATATTTTCATATGGCATTTGCTTACTTTAATTTTACATACGTTATGGTTATGTTTAATCTTGAGTGCCCTGAAGTACACATTCCATCCACCATTTAGTTAAGTTACTTAACTCTGGTTTATTAATAAAATTATTAATCAGTAAGGCCTAAAGAGGCTCCTATGAACAAGGAATAATCCATCGCAAATAGTATAATAATAATATTGGTACTTAAGAACCAACATTATTCCCAACAGTTCTAATCAGCACTCAAATAAAATGCCTGAACTAACATCAGTTATTGAAAAATGTTTTAAAGTCCTAGAATGAACTGTTATAATTATAACATACAATAAAATTGCTTATTTCACTTCTGTTAGTGTTGTTTCCAAATATACAACCATCATTTAAGTGAAATTGAAATGACAGAAGATGTAGGGCCACAGGGACAAAAAATAATTCTGATTTTAGTCTCGGAATTATGACATTAATTCTGATTTTAAAAAGTCAGAATTGTGATATTTAATTTGAGATGAAAGTCACAGTTGTGAGTCAAAATTCTGTTTTATTTTCATGTAAAAAAAAAAAAAAAAGTCTGAATTTTGAGATTGAAGAATAATCTTTTCATTTCAGTGGCCATAATTGCATGGCGTATGAAGGAGTGCTATTTCTTCTAATTTCTAATTCTCGATTCTCGCTAATTTCTCGAAACTCTACCCACCTCTGCTCAGACCATAATCATGTGCATTCTTTCATTCGATCATTGGCTTTGTATTTTTTAAACAGGCACTGAGTTAGGGCAACTGTTGGAAAGGTAGGACCTCAAAGCGCCAAGATGGCGGCGCCCATGGGAGATGCCGGGGAATTTGAAAGCTGGCTAAACGACCGACTGGACTCGCTAGAAGTTGACCGTGAGGTGTACGGTGCATATATTTTAGGAATACTAAAGGAAGAGGAGAGCGACGAGGAAAAGGAAGATGCCCTTCAGGGAATTTTGTCCGCTTTTCTGGTGAATATTCAAGCAGCGTGTCTCGCTCGCTCACCAAGGCTGTCTTCACATCTGCTTCTGTCTGTCTTCTCTCGGTCGGCTGGCTTTAAGTCCTGTAGTGCTGATGTCAGCGTTAAATTTAGCCATGTATCCTTATTCAGCGGCTGATTAACTCACATAGATGAGTTTTACTAACTTGCTAAGCTAAACTCCACCCAATATTTATTTCAGCTAACTAAAAGTGTAGTTTGCTCTGACAAGAGTTACAGAATATTGTTTTTCGGCTTTAAAATTAACTTTCCTTGTTATAGATTTATATGTTTGTCTGATAATTGCTCCACTCAGGCTGAAGTTCACTTAAGTTAGTGATTACAATGATAAATGTTTACTGCGTTTGATGATCAAAATGCTTTATCCGTCACTATCCCCTTTCCTCATATGTTAAGGATGAAGATACCATAGAAGAAGTCTGCAAGCAGATTATCAGTCACTGGACGGAGTGTCGCAACCGATTGGCTGCCAGACAAAACACCGACGACGGTATACATAATTCAAAATGAAGTTGTCTCAAATCAAGCCGAAATGTCCATCTGCGTTTGACCTTTAGAATGTATCAAACCTTTGCTTCAGAAGATGGAAAGGAATTTTATAGAGTAATGTACAAGAAATCTGATTGCTTATTCAGATTTGCTTAACTACTGATTATTATCAGAATAATCAGTACTTATACATTTTATTCAAAGTCTTCAATTTCATCAGTCACTGTCTTGACAGTGACTGAACTATTTTGCATGGTATTGTAACTATTTCTGTCCCTTTCATTTTTCTTAGCCGAGGTCCAGGCCATTGCCAGCATGATAGAAAAACAGGCTCAGATTGTGGTGAAACAGAAAGAGGTGACTGAGGAGTCGAAAAAGAGAAAAGAGGCCCTTCTTGCTCAATACGCTAATGTGACGGATGAAGAGGAATATCCTTGAATGTGTTTTATATCTGTGTCTTTGGTTACTGACATCTTTAATGGTACAAACTTATGGTCTAAGTATAATCATGAAAAGAGGGAGGTAGATTTTTTTTTTTTCTTCTTTTCTCCAGACCAGTTGCATTTCAAATGCAAACCTTTTCCTTGACTAAAGCACTGAAGCTGAAGAACGGGAGCCACCAACTGGAATTGATGGTCCTGGAAGTGATAAATGTATCCTTCATAACTGTTTTTACTGCTTTTACCACAAATCCCTTAATATTTAACATATGAACATTTCTTTCCTTAGATGTGTTGCCAGCCTTTCACTATAAGTTTCCCAGTTATTTATGTCTCCAAAGTGGTTACACATAAAAAACCAATTGACTTTTAAAATTCCTTCACTGTTGGTATCAGCCCTGTTCAAGAACACCAACGTGGAGGAGGTGCTGAACAGACAGAAGCAAAAGCGTGACCAGGCTCGAGAAGATGCTCAGAAGAAGAAGGAAATGGACAAAATGCAACGAGAGAAGGACAAACTAGCCAAACAAGACAGAAAAGAGAAAGAGAAGAAACGTACACAAAAAGGTGAACGTAAAAGATAAAATCAAAAGAAAGGAGTTTTATTTTTTTTTTGTTTAAAAAAACCTGATTTGCAAAAAAAAAAAATACTTAAACAATGGGAAGTAAAAGCTAGAAATGTGTGCTTCTCTTAACTAAATCTCCTAATATGTTAATGTCATGTTTGTCAGATTCTTGGTGAAGATTTTCTCACTTATGAGAAACACTGAACTGGATGCATAGAACTAAAATTCATACATGAATACATTTACACTAATTCAAGGTGATCCAGAGAAACCTTAGACATGATGTACCTATGGTGAAACAATGTTCTACCCTAAGCAAATTCTTTTCAAAGTCTCGCATACTTTGGTTAGGATTTGACATGATCACCATTTAAGTAATAAAAAAGCATGTAACTGTTATTCCAGCAGCCATCATCTGATAAATGCTTCATATTTCTGCACAACTCTCAATAGCAAGTCATCTGCATTTTTGCATATTAGGTTTTGGTTTTACTTTCTATGCATTCTGCCAAGAAATACGAACAAAATTTGCTAAATTAACCTAATTGTACAATGTTCCATCATTCAAATGTTTTCAAGTTTATTTTCTTAAAAGTACTAATAAAATCTTTTTTTTTCCAGAAAAGAGTGTTTATTTTTTTTTTAATTTAGTTGTACAGAACAGATAACATGAAAAAAAAACATCCACAACAATTAAAATACAGAAATGCAGGAGTTAAATACAGACGTCGTACAAACGGTCACACTCTACCTGTAGCATTTTGCTAACAATATGAAATCTAAGTTTATATTTAAATGTTTAACTACTAAGATTTTACAATCTTTAGATCTATGCTTTAAATACGTAAAACTGACTGATTATGAAGTTAACACCAAAAGATATAGTTTTTCACAAACTAGAACACTTCAAGTTAATTTTAAAAGTTTTCAAAAGGTTTAATGTTTTGTACATAAACTTGGTGAGTGAAACCTTTAACACTTTTGAGATAACTCTTATTTCACTGATGTTTTTAACACTTTTTCTAATAAGTGTGATTAAAGCATTTAAATACATTGAGTCTTTCTCTTAATACTGTTAGAACATTTTAAATCAAACTAGAGATAAAAAAAAAATAATCTTATCTGATTACAGAATGGTAAGGTTACAAAAGAAATACGAAGGATTTGATTGGAACATTCCAGAAAGCAATTTAGGGTTTGTTAATTTTAAACGACTGCCTTTGTGATTCAATTATTACTGGGGAATACATAAAACTGAGGTTCTATTATATTCCAATAAATAAGTAAAATGAAGAATTCACTGAAATCTTCTGCATAAATAGTGTCTTTAAATACAACTGTGTTGGTACAAGATTGCTGTTAATCTGGAGAGGACACTAATCAAAGGAAATTAAGATGTTGGAAATTGTAAATTACATTTCATGTAATTCTGGAGCAAAAAGGTCAACGATGTCAGAAAAATCAGTTATCTTCCGAGCTTCAAACTGCTTATCTCATTTGTTGTGATCACTCTTTTTTTTTTGTTGTTTTTTTTAAAATAAAATGTTATATAGTCATTTTAAGGTAAGTAATACTACAGGAATATTTGATTCTATAACCTTATTCAAAATCTCACATTTGTACTTAGATAATTCATAAGCAGAAGGAGTAACCTAGGAAAGGAGAGGAGACGCCTTCGGCACATGCGGCCTCCTCATCCACATCGTGTTCCTGAGTCTTGACGGCTTTCGGCAGCGTGCTTTGGAGGGCGCACCACAGGGCTGTTCGGAGCCTCTTGGTTGTAGCAGCCAGTTCCTTCAGTGCCATGACCATCAACGGGTTATCTATAAAACAAGCCAGGTGGAACCATGAGCATCTTTAAAAGAAGAGGTAAACGTATATGGAAGTATGATTACCTCTGTCCTCTGTGAAATTAATTCCCTGCTGCTGCTGTTTTGTCATGTTTCCACTGTCCTCTTTGCGTCTTGACTGGGTGATACAAACGGCCATGTGGTGTGTTTTCAGCGCTGCATGGATGTTAATATGCAGGGGAACTCCACAGAGACACTCCATTCTATCAAAAAGGCTTGCCACCTGGAACAAATTAATATTACAATTTTTTTCACTCATCTAAACAAGGAAAAAAATAATAAAAACAGCGATACTTGATAATTTATTAAGTGTGTTCTGATGAAGGGGCAGCAGGAAAGGCTGCACTTTTACAAATAATATTTAAAGCTATAACTTTTTTCTAAGCTACACAGTTGCATTTAAGAACAAACATTTTTTTCCTGAGGTTTCAAGGTGGCTAAATGAAACGGCTTATAAGGGCCTTTGTAAATGGAAAAAAAAATGTATGGGAAAATTTCCACCCAAAAAAAAAAAATCACAGAAATCTTCTAGAAAAAACTTGGAAATTTCTGAGTGTGAAAAGTTAAACATTTTCTAGAAAAAAAAAAGAAACAGAATTTTCCAACTTTTTTTTGTAAATTTCTGAGATTAGTTTTATGTAAGAGTTTATAATTTCAAACTCAGAAATAAAAAAAAAAAGTTTTTTTCCAAGATTTCTGAGATTAATCTAAAAAATGTCTGTTTTCTTGGTGAAAATTTACTCTCTTGTTTTCTATCTACTACGGCCCTCATACCCCATTGTGCCTACACATGGCTCTGCTGCAGAGAATATTACCTTTGCTTGCTCCTTCATCTGATTAACAATAAGGTAGTCAACTCTTGTTGATTTTGGTGGAGTTTTGGGGGGATTGGTGTTGGTCATCACTGCAGCTCTTTTCCCAGGAAAAGCTTTTTTAAGGATGACCTCTGCCTAAAATAGAAGGCATTAGACAACGATAACCACAAAAAAAAAAATAAATAAATAAATATATATATATATATATATATATATATATATAGAAAAAAGGTATGGTTTTTCATTATATATATATATATATATATATATATATATATATATATATATATAAAAAAAAAACATATTTTTTCTCTCTCTTTCTCAACACTCATACACTGCT